ACACAATCCCCCTGAGATCCGCCGACCGGATCTGGATACGCCGATGCAATGCAATAAGAATGAATCCACCACCTTCCGTCCGTCCGCCTGCCCATCCCCCTCTTTCCCGTCTTCCCAACTTCCCATCTGCTTTCATTCACATTTTCCAGATCCCTCTCTCTGCGTCATCCCATCTCCATCTCCAATGTAAGCTACAGTGTATGTTGATGTGGTTGTATATATCTCTCTCTCAAGAAATGAGAACAGTTAGGCAAAAAAAAAAGGTCATAACTGATTGAAGCAAGTAATCACTCAATCAACCGCCTCCCCGCGTTCTTGATGATATTAGCCACCCTCTCCACCAAAATCCCCGCCGCCTCCCACTCGTCGGCGCGGATCGTGTCCCTGATCGAGGGGAAGTACTCCTCGTCATATGACGACTCGAGCTGTGGCCCGAAGACGACGTGCTTGAACTGTGTTCGGTTGGGGATCTATGCAAACTGTCAGCATCGAAGACGTCAGGACGACGACAAGGACAAAACGTACGCCAGCTTCATCCAACAAATCCGTCTCAAACCGGGCCATGCGCGCGTTATACTCGCACCGCTTCCTCCCCAGGCCAGCGGGCTCGAACCCGCCCGACGAGATAATACTGCCCTCCCACGAGAGCTCCCACTTGTTAAACTCGCGGATACTGGTGACGATGTCATGGTGGGCGTCCTTGAGAGGCTGCACCGAAAATCCGGCCGGTTTCTTGTCCGACTTTTGCTCGCCCACCCACGCCTCGAGCTCGCTGATCCACTTGCCTAGGCTGTTCGAGTAATGCGCCATGTCGAAGGGCAGAATCGGCCGGTCGGCGAGCTCGAGGATGAGACGCCCGACGAGCTGGCCGAGGAGGGTGTGATAGACGAACCCGGGGTCGCCGACTTGGTCCATCCAGTCAAACGTCTCATAGCTTGAGTGGGCAGGATACGCGGGTCCGTCGAAATGGAGGTCGAGCGACGACATGCCTACAATATCCTGGAACGCCACATAGTCAGACCCCGCGCCGAGGCCCTCGAGCTCCCCGTGCCTGTCATCCCACCGGGAACGGAGCGAGGTCCCGTTGAAGACTGGATCCTGGATGTCATTGAGCACCTCGAGAAGTAACCGGTTGAACATGGGTGACCCGGCGGCATGCAGCACAGAGCCCGTCACGGCCGTGTCGAGGTTGATGTAGGCGAACCCGTCGTTGCGAAGGAGCTCGTCGTTCTGCTCGACATACTCGGTTGACCCAATCAGATTGTACTCCTCGCCGTCCCATGACATGAACTCAATGGTGCGTAGCGGACGCCAGCCGTCGGCAAGTAGGTCGCCAAAGATGCGGATGAGCTCCAGCATGACGGCTGTGCCAGAGTGTGGATCGGCAGCACCAGGGCCCCACGAATCGCGATGGTTGCCGATGATGATCCGCTTCTCCGGCTGCTCCACGCCGATGATCTTGCCGTACACGTTCCATATCGGCTGCTTGGTTACCTCGTCCTGCTCGTTCTTGAGGCGCACCGTTGGCGAGGTGGAATTGCCGGTCCACCACTGCCCAATATCTGGAACGCCGCCCGCCCAGCCCTCCGGCACTTTAACGCCGTACTCCTTGATATGCTGGAGGAGGATCTGGGCATCCCGCCAGGCGAGGGGAAGGCTCGGGATCTTTGGCAACGCCGGGCTTTCTTCCGGCTTCAGCCGTGGCTGATCCTGCCTGCTTCCCCACCCTGGTGTCAGAACATCACCGACAACATAGCTCATCAGGCTGACCGCGCCCCGCTGGACACCATCGGCCGGCATGTAGGGGCCGTTGGGTGCCGTGTCGCCCTTCACAAACCCATCATCTGCTGGGTCGCTGTAGATGAGACAGCCCGCAAACCCAGCCTTTTCCGCCTCCTTCACCTTCAAGGCCCGATCGCTCGGTTGGCCCCCGTACCGCACCAGCGCGATCGCACCCTGGGTATCGATACCAAGCTCCTTCAATCTTCGATAATCGTCCTTCGTCCCGTAGTTCGCGTACAACAGCGGCCCGCTGACATCACCCGACTTGGAGTGGCCGTGGAAAGCCATAGTCTGGTGGCCGGCCTTTTCCCCACCAGGATCGTCCTCCTCAAGCTTAGCCGACCACGTAGGTTTCCCGTCTCCTCCCAAAATCTCCACCGCCCTCCCTCCCTCTTTCGGATAGTTGAGATACACATAATACGTATCCCGCGTTACGTCCTCGAGCCCAAACCGCCTAAACATCAGCTCCGTATCCTCCGCCAGCGCGAAGTCGCCCTCGGTGCCCGCGATGTGTGCATACCCCGTGTAGTGTTGCATCAGCCCGCGGATACTCCTCGGATCGATGCTCATCTTGACATGATTGCGCACCTTGATGGGGTCGAACATGTTGTTATTCATGCGCCGCGCCATATTGGTGAACAGGTCGCTCGCAAAAAGCAGATATAGAAAACCCATGACTAGCAGGATGGCCAGCACCCTCCCGACAATCAGGAACAGCGCGGCGCTGCCGAGGCTCGGGAATGCCAGCCAACTTGCCCGTGAATTGTCGGAGTTGCCGCTGGCCTGGCCGGGCTCGGCGCCCTCTGCTCCGCTGCCTGTCGTTGTTCGCCCTCGGCCGAATGGTATCCTCGGTAACCTCCATCGCCAGCGCCATTGTGGTAGCGAGAGCGAGAAGCCGATGCGCTTTCCCCACGTCGACCGGCCGCGTGCCTCGCCATGCACGCCTGAATCGTCTATGTCCATCTCCTGCATCTCGCGCCGTACATGGTCGGCTTCGGCGTCCGTGTCCGAGTCGGTCTCGCTGTCGGAGCTGAGCAGCCCCCCTTCGTCGTCCGTCTCGACGGTCGGGGCTCGATAGCCCCCTGGTCTCCGGCCAGAGCCGACATGCTGGTTGGATGTGGAGGGCGACGAGGACGAGGAGAACGGGTGTCGTGAGGTCAGGAGGGACTGTCCCTCGGCGGCGCGGCCGTATTCGACGGGCGAGTGTGGGTAGTCGTGCTGGCGCTGTTGCCACGAGCCTCCGGCGACGGCCTCATCGTAGCTCGGTATCGGGGGCGCCGGGTAGTATCTTTGGTCGGACGCGGGCGCCATGGTGGCTGCTATCGGGGGTGGTCACGGGTGACTGTGGACATTCGAGCAAGCGAGGATGGATAACGATATATCTGAACAGCGGGGGAGGTCGGGATGTAGTGAGCGGAAGGGGGTAGTGTCGAAAATCAGAACAGCGTCGTCAAAAGTCAAATGAGCGTGGGATGAAACTCTGCCGAGCTTCCGTGTCTAGGAAATGGAAGATGGAAAAACGCAGCGGCTCATCAGTCCAGCTGCGTTACGGGCCGACATGGATGGCAAGCAATTGGAGGGTTGCCGTGGCCGTGGTTGATGGTTGAATTTGGATGTTCTCGATTGCGGAGGGTGGATTGCACGTTCGGTCGCCCGCTTCTCGACCTGCGGCACGACACAGGGGCCACCTGGCGGGCCAGCTCCCAGCCGGGTGGTTCCGCCGTTCCGGTTTGGGGTTAGGGTTCAGTATGAGACCCGATTACACGCAACGCCAACACCTCACTGCGATTATCCAAAGCATTTGAAAGTAAATGGTGTCACGGATATTGAAGCTCATGAGATATGCCTCTCTATATTTGAAGTTGGTAGTGGTGCGGTGCAGAGTGCTATCACGATGAGCCGTCTTGACTCGTTAAAGCGTGGTCGCACACTCATTCAATATCTGGCCAGAAAGCCTTCTCAGCAGCCAACAAGGAGAGCCACTTGGCCTCGACCCGATCGACAATAGCCTTGAACGCCGCATCCTTGTCCTCACTCCGCTCGACAAAATCGGCCACAGCTGAATCAATAAGTCTCCCCAGTCGGTCCACAAACTCGCGAAACTGTGGACTACTCCAGTTGGGAATAAACTCCTGCCGCAATGCACCTCCATCAGCATCGTCCCTCGCCGTCGACCCATGCGGCTGCTTATTCTTGGCCCACGTCCAAGCATCCAGATAGCACTTCTCAGTCCCCCAGAACGTAACCGCACCCTCGAGCCAAGGAATCGGGGAACTGGGAGGCAGCTCTTTGGTTGAGAACCAACCCTTGGACACCTGGGGACGGCCAACGCTCGAGAAGATGTCCTCGATCATGACGAGACCCGGGAGCTTCAAAGACTGCGTGCTAGCCGCATTGCTGGATATGGAAGGCCCAAGCTCAATCGACAGGCCATAGCGATCGGCGACATCGATGAAGAGGCGCTCCTCCTTGCGCACGGCAGCGAGGGCTTCAATTAGCCAGTCGACCAGCTGCGTCTCGTGTGTCTCGTGGTCGGATACAGACTGGGGCAGATCGATGGACCCGAGAAGCTTGGCGGCGGCGCGAATGTACGAGTGGATGTACAGTCGGTCGTTGGACAGCCAGCGACCCAGGGCCTCCTTGGGCAATCGACCTTGGGCGGCGGCAAGAAGGAACGGGTGTTGTGTTGCTGCTTCGTACTCGTCGCGTCGTCCCAAAAGGTGTGTTGTCAATTCCCACGCTGTTTCCGACATTATGAAGGCCCTGAAAGCGTGAGCGAAGCTGCTTGCAAGTTGACTTTTGTGGGGATGGATGCCCGTTTAAAGAGACGGTTGGGAACTTAGGAGCGTGGTTCTGCATGATGACGGTCGGGTCACGTGCCTTGTGTAGCAGAGTGTGACAGCGGCCTTGGCTCGCCGAGCCGCCCGTTGGCTCCGACTTCATGTCGGCACCGGGCGGTCCCGACAGACCCACTTTTCCCGAACTGGTCCCTTCAACACCAGCGGCAAGGACAAGAAAAAGAAGACAACAACCCGGGAAAAGGTCAAAAAGTTGAGGCCATCGACTGGATAGCTGGGAGATGGTATTATAGCCCCTCGATGCCCACATACTCTTGACCTGTCGCTGGACCCTGGGGCGGCATCAGACATCGCATACCAAGGTTGGCGGACAATAGTCCCCAGATTGTATAATCAACCGTCTGACAGAGCCCCAGAGAACAGCCTGACCCGGGAGTTGAACCCAGGCCCTGGTCAGACGTACTGCATGAGAAGCAGTAGGTACTGACCGACCATTCCACTGCGCTATCTGGCTTGTTGAAACGGGTAGGGGTTCCGCCGTTTATATACTTGCCTCCCAGACCTCAGCTGGTGTGTGAAGGGTTCTGTTTGTCATGTATTTTCATCTCGTCTTGTCCGACTCTCCCAAGAACTCCCCGTGACCGCATTTTGCAGCCATCCTGGCCAGGCGATGAGTATTGAGGCAATACCCAACCGTTCGCTCGCCTTTCTTGGTGTTTTGGCCCTCCCCATTTCGTACCATTCATTCATCACAAAGCACTTAACAGCGAATAAACTTTTCTATATTTCTCACCACTCCATTGGTTGCCAGGCATACCAGATTTCTCACCCATACCACAACCAATCATGCACTTTGCCAGCATCCTATCTAATCTGCCTCCGGTCGTTTCTCCTGCTAGCCATGGGTTGTGATATTTTTGAGTTGACCATTCGGAGTGCAAATAATCCTTGGCGGATCCGATAATATATGTGGAGGACCACATCGAGTATTGATGTAGAGTCTCAATTCGTCAGGAATCACCGTGACTTTGTCGGCCCTTAATGTTGTGGTGTTTCCCCGGGTTTTGGCTTTGTGTGTTCGTGGTTTTTGGTGTCCACACCGTGACGCGCTCCTGCCTTCCGCCGTGGAAAAGTACGCGTCGTCCTATTCAGATCGCGCCCAGTTGACGATTCTATTGTCATTGCCCCACTTTCGCCCAAGGCCTTGCCCATCACCCATATTTTCCTGCTCGCGAACTCTGACTCCATTTCCAATCTTCAACTTCGCAGCAAGCAACCGCGGTAGGTCTCCATCGCTACGATTCCTCCAACCATCTCGAAACGCGCTATGGTCCTCCCTAGGACTATCAGCAGCTGTCTCTTGACCTTCGTCTGACTTTTCTCTTCCCAGATCAAGTATTTTGAAGCTTCTCGCTGTTAAACTTGCTATCCGTGAGTCTTGACCCCCACCTCACGCGGTTTTCCCTTCCGCGGCCCCAGTCCTCCCTCTGCCTCCTTCTGACAATCATCTAGAAACAATCAATGCACTCGATCGTGTCCGCGCGGTCAACAGTTGGGTACGGGTTTTCCATGAATGTTGGGTTTTGCAATCCTAACCAATTCTGGAAACAGTCTCGAGATTCCCTTCGCCCTTTTGCGCCTTTCGTAAGTCTGATCTCTCCCCTCGTCCCAACGGATTCCCACGCGCGCCCAGGTCATCAAGGTTCTAACGAGCACCCAGATTAAACTCAGCCCACACGGACAACGTCGGCTTCGCCTCGTTTCTGTAAGCCTTTCAATGTCCAGTTTTCCTCTCTGTCAAGGTCCTAATCAGCTGCAGAAACATCACATTTCCTCTCTCGCTCGCGACCTCGCGACCCGTTGTAAGTGTTCCCTCGTACAATTCCACTCCTTCAGTTCTTCTGATTGCGCTCCTTTCCAGATACCCTCTCATTCTCTCGCTGCGCCTTTGCGTTCTCTCGCTGTAAGCCCAATACTTTCCTTCAGTCAAGCATCGCCGCGCAGTGATGGTTTGGTTACAAAAGCCATCCACAATGTCCTGCCCTGGGATATCTTTCTGCCCCGACACAACTTCATCTGACACTTATCCGTTCCACACACCCATCATATCTTTGCGTCACAAGTACAGATTTCGGGAGTGCCTTTCAAGCTGTACCTAGATCTGCTTGAGATTATCTACAATGTTTGCACCGCTCAATCTCCCCGTCCATGACATTTTATCATGCGGGCGAGCCCGCTTCAAAATATTGCGACAGTCTTAAGCAACCGCTAGATGTTGCTTGAACACAATGTGGCGCTTCTTTGACATTTGAGCTACTAGGCATTTCGTTGAATATCTGACTAATTTTTTGTTTTCAATTTAGGGAAAAATGGAGCGCTCTGGTAAAGGCATTCCGTACACTACCCTGCGCGATCTCGTGCCCAGAAACGGCATGGCATTTCCTTGGGCCGGCACCATTCTCGGTCAAAGCCATTCCGACGCGGGCGTAAGGCGTGCGCTGGTGCAGTTGGGTGGTCACAAGCGCCGCGAGGCGCAGATGATAATGTCCAGCATCGTTGAGATGGCGACACACATGGCCTCGAACGGGCTGATGGCGTCCGAGGACGAGTTTATGGCGTCTCTCTATTCGCACCACTCCTTGGGCCAGCATACGTCGCCCCGAAGTAGGTCAACACTTTTAGCATATTTGAAACCCCTTCAATCTGTTTCCCAAGACCTATCTGCTAACTGTTGATGCCTTTCCTTTCTCATTTTAGGCTTTGCCAAGTTCTTTGCCGCCATCCTGCGGGCCCGTGCCGACTTCCTCGATGATCGGAAAGACCTGGGTCTTCCTCCCCAGGACCCTGCGAAGCATTGTGAGGTAAGAACAAATCCATTTAATACCCTATACCTGTCGCTGACACGAAATATCCAAGCTCGCCCAGGCGGTAGACGACTTCCGGGCCGTCGCCGGCGCAGGCTTCTGCCTAGCCGACCTCGAGCTTCTGATCGAAGCCGGGGCGACATTCACACCGTCGGCGACAATCGCTACGTCTGCTCCCGCCTGGGGAGGACCGGGGACGGGATCGGGATCGGGAGGATGGGGGGCGACCCTCACCTTCAACCTCGCCGCCACGCCCGCCGCAACCGCCGCGACCATCACCAGCGCGGTTGCCCCCATCGTCGCCACCACCAAGCCGGCCGCCGGGCCGGATCATGACTCCGAGGGTTACGACTCGGACGAATTCGCCGGTGTGCCGCCGTCCTCCTCGGAGGACGAGGACGAGGATGACGACAAGCCGGTCAGAGTCCTGGCCGATGACCTCACGTCGGCAATGGACGTCCAAGGCGAGGGTGTCCAGAGTCTAGCTGGCGTCACTGCTTGCCAGATGGAACTGGACGGCCTCGTGGAGGACGATCTGAGCTGCGGGAGCGAGGGCATGGACCTTGACGATTAAGTCTCGTCCTGGTGGGGAGCAGTGGGAGAGGGGTGTGGGTGGTCGGAGAACCATTGAGCTTTCGGATCGGAGGGAATGCGTCGCCGGGGTGTAGTGTATTGGAGGAATGGGTGTGGGATTTCGCCCAGGGGCGTTTCGTTGTTGCCGTCGGGGTCTATGGTGGTGGCGTTTGTAGTCGGACCGGCTGTTTCGATGGAGGTTTCGCTGTCGCTAGGCGTTTAGCGAGCTGCTACGGTGGGCGTTTGGCCGGTGGCATTTTTGGCGTTCGTCCCGGCGGTGGACTTCCGGTTCTGTGTTCGTTTTGTTTTTGGCGCTGTTTTCTTCATGTCTGAGTAGGTACGTAAGGTGCCGGCCACCGGGACTGTAATTCAATATTTCACCAAATTCTCCATTATGACGTGCAGTGTGTGTGAAGGTCGAGGACGAGCAAAATTGTCCTGGTCCGTCCCTGGAAGCTTCACCGGCCTATCCCGGTCCGACAGAAGAAATCTCATCACATCAACACTCGTCGACAGTCCTACAAACCGGCACATGCCACAGCGGTTTCTCGTTGAATATATCGGCCCCGCTATATTGAGCTTCTAGATCCTTACCTACTTACAAACTATCATCGAGATGTTAGGTGTTAACAGACGTTGAACGTTCTGAGCTCGAACAAATCAGGCATTCGCACCACATGATGGTTCCAGCCAAAGAATTGACGGATAATCCCCCAGAATACGTCCCCGTCGGTATACCTGTGCCTAGCCCCAACCCCCAACCCCCAACCCCAGCGCTGTTCTAGATATCGGACACCTTGAGATCGCCGGTTCCAACCAAGATGCACTAGCATCCGCGTCAAACTCTCGGGTTCGTCTGACAATGCAGCTATGGTTGTCGAGTCTCCCGCTCGCATGTGAAGGCGGTCGGTCTTTGTTGCCCCAGCCAGCCTAAGACAAGCCACCTGTATCCGGAAGATCTCCAATATAAGTATGTTTGGCTGTCAATTCAACGTTGGGACTACCGGAGCCTGCCTCCCAGCACAGCTCCGAGAAGCCATCGACAATAAGGGTACCATATCGAGCCGGCTTCGGATTGAGGCGTCATATACGCCTCAGTCGGACTGGGGAGGAAGGTAGGAATGGTTGTCTACTCCTCAAGAGTCTGTGGATATCTCTCGCTAGTAAACGTTCGGATATGCTTGATTCTATGTATATATGCGCTCTTCTTGCGCTATGTGGAGCTACGCCGCTTCTTAGACGTTAAAACAAAGTTGATGTACGCCATTGACGTTGTGGATCTGTGGTGGACGCCGGTGTACCAGGCTAATGTAGTGTCTCTTGGCGAATCCACTATCGACGACAACACCGTTCTAAGTTTTGCCCCCCTCTTTTCTTTTGGATTCGACGATAAGGGACTTGTTGGACGAAACTTTTGCATGAGATCAAAGAGAACCATACCGTAGGTAGGGATAACGCCGGAACCCGCGGAGATGAGGAACGCCATTCCTAAGTTCTTAAAATTCGCCAGGAGCGGGAGAGAGGCGAAAGCGCCCCTGAGCTTGCAGAGGGCCGTCGCTGTAGCCGAACGAAGCGACGCCAGCGAATTTTATCCCGATACAGACGTCTTCCCAAAGGAACAATATCTCGAAATATGAAATGAT